GTCTAAGAAAAAGGCATTCATCAGGGGAGTCTGACAAATCAGCACAAGAAGGGTCTTGCTCCACTAGGAAAAAGGTAAAGCAATCGTTTTCAACACGCCTCTTGCCCATTTAATGCCTTTTCTGTGAAAAGACTACTGAATGGACACATGACAGCATGGGAACCAAGAAAGTTCATAAACTTGTCAAATATGTTAACAGAACATCTGAAGCCTCTGTAAAAGAAGCTGTAAACAGGAAAACTGAATCAAAACTTCGGGGCCAAATTGAAAATGCTGTTCTTATTGCCCAAGAGGCATTGCATCATGAACCATGTAGAAAAGCTTACACACGTAAGGAGTATCGACGTTCACAAGCTTCTACATCTAAATACTCTTTCTGGAGAAGAAAAGGCAGAAGCTGAAGAAAGAAAGAAAGCTCCAGCTGCAGAGGAAGAAGCCCACTCCAAGGCTTTTCAGCACGTCCGTCAGTTTGTGGAAGAAAATGTCACTGCACTGGTCCTTGTTGTTAGGATTTGTCTTTTGAAAGAGATGTATTGCACTTTCATGGAAACAAATTATCCAGAGTTTTACAAGTACTACAAGACATATAAGTTGAGGAGAAACTTGTGTCAACTTCTGGCAGAGATATTCTGGGACAAGTGATCTCGTCTACTCTGATGAAATTTCAACTGGGCAGGCTGTCGGAGTAGCCTTTGAAAATGTAACCTCTGAAGAGAGACTTGTTATAGAAGTGGCAAAGGTGATACGACGACCTGTTCTTGATGGATGCAATGAAAGTGAAAAGTTACCTTGGCTTTCAGCAGACACAGATCTGCGCACAGAAACTTAGCAGATTCCACAAGTATGTACAATATTTCTTTCCTTTCTTTACTCTAAGAATGGAAAACCACAGTCAATAAGATGCCACAGGAGAGTTGTTTCTACTACAGGTCAGGACATATGCTACAATGTGACGAAAGGGGAAAGGAAAAAGCCTTAACATATCATGATTGGTATATGTGTCCGTCATCCAACAGGAAACACTGAGCTGATCAATATCTTAAACCGGCATGGACATTCTGTATCCCACTCATTTCTCTTAGAAGTGGAAACTGCCATGTGTGACAGTATACAGCTTTCTTCAGGTAGTTTGGCCCCATCCATCATGCCTGACAACAACCTCATCACTCACTTCTGTTGGGACAATTTTGACTTGAATGAGGAAACATTATCAGGAACTGGATCCACACATTCAACTCATGGACTAGTCATACGAGAAATCAAAGAGCAGCCATACATTCCCCAGCCGACACCAGAGGTTGACAGAACAAAGAAAGGGTCAATCCATATTCCAAAAAAACAGCTTGACCCGTGTTTTATCAATTCTAAGGTGGAACACACCTTGATAACAAACAGAGTATCAAAGATTTCAAAGTGCTCCATATGAATAATGAAAACAAAAGGCAACTGACACAGTTCTTACTTTATGTATGGCAACAAGATTGTTATGCAATGATGTTGCTGAACAGAAAAATATACGAGGGCTGTCCCACGGAAAACCGGAATTTTGCTGTAATTTGAAAACTATTCAATATTTTCACATTCTGTAAACGCACACTTGTAAAACAATCATATTGGAATTTCCCGATTGAACACCATGAGCATCGCACAAACCAAACGAACACAGCAGTTCTCCAAAGATGGCTACCCACTTGGAAAATTGGTCAAGGATAGAAGTGAGATCTGTCATTCGGTTTCTGACCGCAAAAGGTCTCAAACCTATAGAAATACACGCTGAAATAAAGTCAGTTTACGGGGAGAAAGTAATGGCAAAGTCACAGGTATATGAGTGGAGTAGTAAGTTCAAAGCCGGGCATACGGATATCAATGACAAAGTCCACCCAGGACCTTGTTCTTCTGCCAAGACTGAGGACAACAAGAGTTGCGTTAACGAACTCATTCAAACAGACAGGCGCCTAAAAATTCGCGAAATTTCCGAGTCGCTAAACATTTCAAAGTCAACTGTCCATAGGATAGTGTTTGATGAGCTGCACTATCGAAAGGTCTCTGCTCGATGGGTCCCAAAAGAGCTGACAGCTGACCACAAGACGCGTCGTGTTGAAGTGTCTCAGACTTTGTTGAATCGTTGTCGCCAAGCTGTCACGGGAGTCATGAACGCATCTGGAGACCTCCAACAATACGATGAAGCATTTCTGAGAAGCATTATTACAGGTGATGAGACTTGGATACACCACATGACCCCTGAGACGAAGAGGGATTCAATGGTTTGGAAGCACACGTCTTCACCTCCCCCGAAAAAGTTTAGAGTTCAGCCATCGGTGAAGAAATTCATGGCCACGGTTTTCTGGGATGCTAAGGGTGTTCTGCTTCTTGACATTCTGGAACCAGGACAAACTATCAATGCTAACAGATACTGCCAGACTCTTGATAAGTTAAGAGAGGTTGTGCGCCGAAAAAGACCAGGCCGGTTGTCCAGCGGGATCATTTTGCAGCATGACAACGCAACGCCATACACCGCAAACGCTACGAAAGACTGGATCCAAAGGTTCGGCTGGGAAGTTATGCCACACCCACCTCACAGTCCTGACTTGGCCCCGTCAGATTATCACCTTTTTGGACCAATGAAACGCCATATTTCTGGACAGCGATTCACCGACGACGAAGACCTCGTGGAAGCCGTGAAAGATTGGTTGAAATCCCTTGACGAAAAATTCTTCAGGGACGGTATCTTCTCCCTGATCCAGCGATGGAAAAAATGCGTCCAGCGGGATGGTGATTACATTGAGAAATAAAGCACACGTTGAGGTATGATGTGTTATATTTTTATTATAATAGGACAAAGATTGTTGCTTTTATGGACCTTTTCCGGTTTTCCGTGCGACAGCCCTCGTACTTTGCGAGTGACCAACAGTGCTTTGTCCTCAGTAGCAGTGATGGAAAGACTACAGATTCAAGACCTGTTCCAGAGTTACCCTCCAGCCATGAGGAAGCAGACACACTGCTGATCGTACATGCCATCTTCTCTGATCAGAACATTGCTACTCCAAACACAGACATCATTATTCGGTCCCCAGACACTGATGTCTTTCTACTGATGATTGCATTTGTTCAACATTTCACACACAGTTTGAATTTTGACACGGGTTTGGAAAAAGAAGAAGATGTCTACACATTCAGACTCTCTGTTCCAAAATGGAAACACATTTACAGGATTCTATTCTTGAACTCCATGCATTCTTTGGATGTAAGGAGTCTAGCGATTTTGTCCAGAGAGGAAAGGTGAAGCCGCTCACCATTCTCCACAGGCACCCAGAGTTTGCTGTTTCATTCAAGGAGCTAGGAACATCTGAAACTGTTTCTTCAGAACTGTTTTCCAATCTGGAAAAGTTTGTTAGTCACCTGTACGGAAAACCTGCTTACTCTAGCGCTAACAAGTTTCATCATGACCTTGTAAGGCTAAAGTACATGGCAAAAGGTCAAAGCTTACTGTCATGCTTTGATGGATTTGACACCATGCGAGAGACGCCCTGAAGCTGACATCCTATGTGTAAACTATTAATAGTATTAAACTTTAATATGGAAGCAAGCACATCTGGCTCAACCATTAATACAAATGTACCTGATCCGCAAGATCTTGGTTGGAAGAGAGATAATGGTGGAGTGCTCTCAGTGGAGTGGTGCAAAGACTTGGTCCCTCAACAATTGGTTGATATTTTGTCAGGATCAGATACAGAACAAGAGGAAGACAAAGATGAAAACCATCTCCTCTATCATATGTGATGAAGAAGATGAGATTTCAGATTCTGGAAGTGACAGCAGTGAAGATGAACTGATGACATAGAAAGCATCTAAATAAGACTTTACATGCAACATCAACTGATTTACAGTATAACATTTGGATAACTAGCACCCAAGCAACTCACTTCTGTTACATATTATGCTCTATGCAAGTCTAGATGCTATAATCTCTTTCTCAATTATATAAATTTCTTTGTACGAGACAACTCAATATAATACATCATGTACACAAATAGCAAATATCCATCTGCATTGCTAAGGCCTGTCTGTAACTCTGCATTGTACTGATTTTCTGTTGAACTAAATGTTTGGCATGTGTAGCTTTTCCTTTGTTGTGTAATACCCAGCAGGGAGTATGTTACGCTAACTTTGTGCGGCTGTTTTCAATTTTTAGAGAAAACGGACTTAAAACATTATTTTTTTCTCTATAAGCTATGTAAATAACTACCACAAAATGTTCAATATAACTGTTTTTCTTTAACCCACAACGCCAACTTTAATCTCAATTAAAAGAAAATCAAAATACCAACAAAAAAAGTGAATAAAAAAAAAAAAGTCAATTTGCTCAATTTTCGACAATTCAGGGGCAATAACTCCGCAGATTGCCAACATTTTGGTGCAAACTTTTTTTGTGCATAGTCCTGAGTGTGCTCTTTCAGAAAATCATAGTGAGCAAAAATCCCCAGGGGGGGGGGGGGAGGGGGGGAGGGGGGGTTCCAGTAGCCCATAGTCTATTAGTTTTTAACTTCGCTTTGTTATGTGCCGGCCTGGTCTCTGCTCCTCTCTTCCCTTCTTTCTGTACTCCCCTCTCTGTTTCTTTCTTTCAGTTTCCCTTATCCCTGTCCTTTTTTATACCCACTTGTGAGTGTTTGGCAGGTACTCTGTTAGGCTTTGCTCCATCTTTCATATCAAAAACACCTATGTCCTTTTCTCTACTCCTTCTTTTCTTTGTATGTAACTCGCTAGTAGTAATAATCCCCGTCCCTTATGTAACATATTGTGTTGCAAATACTATAAAACTCTTACTAAAACTATACAATACTTTTAGAAATGTATGTGTGTGTGTGCTCACGCGGGGGTGCGGGTGTGTGTAGGGGGAGGGGGGTGTCTCTTTTTCTTCCGTCTATCTCCCAAGAAGTCTTGGACGCGTGTCCCGCTCAAAACATGCGCAGTAACCCTTTCCTTGTATCTACTCCCACCAGCTGTTAAAGGTCCTGAACAGCAACTCGGAGAACCCGTACCTGATTTGGGACAACGCCACTCGCGCTCAGCTGTGTGAGTACCTGGCGGACCAACAGCAGAGGATGATCAAGACGGTGAGTCAGCCTATCTGGACTCTTGTTTTTGTTACCGTAGTGTTTGTGGTACTACGGGTCGTGTTTGTGTGTGGGAAGGGGGGGGGGGGTGGACGCAATTGAATCTGCCATGTCATGTCTGTTAACCCGAGAAAAAGGGATGTTCGCCAAATCACCGTCTCTTAAACCTATGAGGCAGTCCGGTCTCCCTTTATCCTCTCGAAATAATTGCCATCTCCTGTTTTCTGTGGTCGGCCGGTGTGCTTTGGCTCATCTTCTTCCTGCTGTTGCTGGTAGTTTGCAAAAGTAATGGTTGTACTGTTATTATTTTTGGTGGTTGTGGTGGTGCTGTTGTTGGTGATGGAAATAGGTGTCCTGTAAGTGGCGTTGATATATGGTACTGCTACTCTTGTTATTCTTGTTCTTGTTTATTATTTGTTTTTGTTTACAGGCTTGCCCATGTTTTTCTAGGCAGTCAATTGTGATAGCTGGTTGTGTTAATGGTCTTTTTGTTAGTGCTAGGATATGTAGGTGGACGGTGTTCTTATCAAACACGAGGTTTGCCATGTGGTTTTTCCTGTCGCACAAAGTGCGTCGTGGATTTAAATTCCAAACTTACTGCATAATAATATGGGTAATATATTATGTTCACTGTTAATGACCTATAACGTGCATCCGTTTATTTACTACTAAATTTGCTATTAGTGCTCGTGGGACATTAAAGTGATTGAATTGTATGGAAAGTTTTAGATGCCGCTATAGTTTGGATTTATTGAATTAAGCTTTCTGACTGACTGCCTCTCTCTCTCTCTCTCTCT